CCCCAAAACCCCAAAACCCCAAAACCCCAAAACCCCGGTAAAGTTGAGGGTAGTTGAATATTTTAGTGGTAGTTATTGTTCTTCATTTTGCTGTTCGAAGCCAATGCTGTCAGGGAGAGAAAAGCTTTCAAATTTATATCCTGTGCCATTATAGAATTTGTTTTGGAATTCTACCCAGTGAAGTCTGAGGGTGTGAAGGAAGCATTCCATTGCATCCATACATATCAGAATAGCAAAATTTGAAGTCAAGAAGACTGGAAGGAAAGCAAATATCAAAAACCATTCTCCATTTTCTATTGGAGCTCTGATTGATTTATCATAAAAAACAGCTGCCAATTGACTATGAGCTAAAGAAAGAGCCCAAAGACGGAGATAAGAAGCCGTATTAGATATTGTTCCTAATACAAATTCTATTGTTTCAATGAGCTGATGAATCCATACCTCCTGTAAATCATGAGAATCATTCTGCTTGTAGACAGCAGTAGCTTTGATAAGTTTTTCTCTAGCTTCATCTTTTTTATCATCATCAGGAATACTATAAGGATCTTCATTTGGGTCATATTCTATTTTGCTCTCTTCTCTAAACCTTCTTCTAGGTTGCTCAGAGTCATCTCTTTTAATAAGGCATTGATCCTCATCCTCCTCTTCTGAATCAGATTGTAGTTCTTCATCGCTTTGCTCCCGCTTTTTGAAGCTTCACACTCCCATTTCAATAGCACTTGGAATTTTTAGGCCTAATTCATGTTGCTTCATCCTTTTAGTGATGATCAGAGGTTTTACAAGCAGCATTACTGGGACACAAACAAAGGCAGTTATAAGAACTAGCACGTTCACAAACTCATGAGTTTCTTTTCCTCCTACCAGTGGCTTTTGCTTTACTCCTCCACCTGACAGGAACATGTCGATCATAACTGTGATGATCGCTGGAGCTTCATATCCATTTTGATAATTAGTCATCCATTTTATGATAATGAGCAAGTCCATGTATCCAAATAATATCAACAGTAGGATCAGTTGGGGAATAAACTCAAAGTAGAAGTCTAATGGCTTGAAGAAGTATCTGGAGTTCAGCCCTTTAAGAACGATTCCTAGAGACATGTGCGCAACTCCGAAGATCACAGCCATTTTCATCTTAAGTGAATTCATAAAGTCAAGGATGTTAGAGGCCTTGTACCATGAGTAATCAATTCCAAAGCTGTACATTCAGTCACTGCTGTAAGTGACATTCGAGTCATGAATGCTGTAGCATGATGACATGTTTAGTTGAAGAGGGATTGATAGGAAATCATTATAGATCAGGCCACAGAACGTAGAGAAGATCCCCATCAAAAGCAGAAGATATCGGATATCAACCAAAGTTTTAAATGCTTGATTCTTCTTAAGTTGCTCACTATATAGTCATACAAGTGAGGCGATGATTAGAAGAAAAGATCCATGTCCAACATCACCAAACATAACTCCAAAGAGAAACGGAAAAGTAATTATTGTAAAATAGGCTGGATTGATCTCTTTGTACAATGGGACTCCATATGTGCTAACGATATCTTGGAATACTGTAGTAAACTCATTCAATTTAAAATGAGTTGGAGGAGGCACATCTCCAATGTGACCGTTGACAATGTGAGCTTCCTGGATAGAGAAGTTATTATTCATGAGTATATTTTCAATATCTTTCTCACTTTTTCAACTCCAGAAATATCCAGTGAATAAATTTTCAGATAGGTGTAGATAATCAAGCCTCATGTAGATTTGATGATCGTATTGGCATATCCTTTTAAATAAATCTAGTTGTCTCTCTTGCGTGCAACTCATTAAGTATTTTTCAATTCCCACAAGACTCATTACAATTAATTGTCTAGTCTGTTCTATCTTGTCTTCAAGATATTGTAGTTTAGATTCTTCTCCATTTTTGGGTACAACAAAATGATTCTTTGAAAAATTGCTACAGATTGTCTCAATTCTGCTCCTTAAAATCTCTCCTTCTTGGAAAACCACGATGAAAACAGATTTAGGGATGACCTTTTTGTCATATGTTTCAATCCCTCCGGTATTTTTCGTCAGTACCAATGCATTTCCTCTAGTAGATCTAAATAGGAGTGTTTTCAGTCTCATTAAGTCATCATTAAGGCATGTGCCTATGATCTTTCCAATTTTAACTCCAGTGTCAAGGTTAATATTGATTTCTGAAGGAGCCTCTGAGAATGATTGGTCTTCAACAAGTTTCATCATTTCTTCTCTATCATAGATTCCTGAGTATTCACTTTGTACAGAAATTCTTTCAGTCATGTCTTTCATCTCTTCTCTTTCCATTAACTCTTGTGAAGCAATTGTAACTTGTTTGTACTCTAACAAGTCGTTATAGTCGGAGTACATGCTCTCGATTCTCTCATTCTGTTCCTTTAGGAATTTCTGTTGCTCCTCAATTATTTTGTTAAGATGGTCAAGGATAGTAAACTTGGACATTTTCATCCTCATCTGGAGGGAGGCCTTTTTGTCAATAAACTCTTGATAAGACTCACATTCCTCTACCTTAACTCCAAACTTTTGGCACTGCTCGTAAATATAATCCAGTTTGGTGCATATTTCATTACACTTACTTATCTCATGGCAGTAAGGAAGTTTCTGGGGTTGCTCGTTCTTGTTGAGGTTCACAAAAGAGACTTCATTAAGAAGCCCCAATGCTTCAACCACATCGTAGGCCTTGTCTTTTGTCACCAGTAGTTTACAGAGATTCATGCTCTCTGATCTAAACATCGACATTTTATTAAAAATTATTATATTTCTGGTGATTAGGAATTTATTGTATTAAAGGGGTTTTGGGGTTTTGGGGTTTTGGGGTTTTGGGG